GCAGACCCTGGACAAGTTATACAAGGCACCATGAAAATGCTCACAATGGGGCAAAGAACTCATTTTATTCAAATCCATGCAAACTCACACCACGGCAGGAATTGGCCCTATTCTTTTTCTACAGGTCCATAGGAAGGGTTTTTAAAGAGTGTTTTGCATCTCCAACTAGGACCTGTGAACTTTCCTGTGCTGGAAGGATTTAGGAACCATAGGTTGAGGATTCAGGCCACACAGATTCACACTTTTGTTCTCCCAAGACTACATAGGACAGAAACACAAGGGTGAATCACCTGCTGTTTCCCACCGCCAAATGGATTCGGGAATTTGGAGGAAGTGCATGGGAAGGGCGATGGAGCAGAACCAGATCTCTTTATAAACTAACAAGCTTACAAATGAGTGTTCAAAGGAAATGGCTTTAGTTTCTGACATGGAAAGCTCTAGATGAACATGGCTTAACTGCATAGGAGAGGAAAAAACAGATTAGAGGAAAAAAAMCACCCTCTCTGAAGCTCTTTGTAGCAGAATGATGCAGCCCTCAAGGTGCCTCTGCRCAGAGGCAGAGCCACAAAGCCTGGCTCAAGCTCCAGTCTGTGCCTTGCCCTTCATGGGGACAGAGACACAGMGGGCCCAGGTCCAGCCCTGTAAAACTCAGGCCTCCTTGACCTCTCACACCCGAAGTCCCAGCTTTGCAAAGCCCTCTTCTTGCAAACATCAGCGGTGAAACAAAAGATATGAGTTTTCTCAGTATAAAGACATGAAAATATACGAGGCGAGTTGTTAGCTGGCAWCAAGCAGCTGAGATTAACAGAGCTGGACACAGCCAAGGCGACTTGCACCAGCCGCAGATCCAGGCCTGCTTGTTGGCTTCCCACTAGCAGGATTACATTAAAAAAAGGCCTTTAAGAAAGCAAACAAYCAACGTGCCACCTGGGTGCAATTTGTGGGTTCACCGTTTGTTTAGGTCATCGCATATTTGGTGTCAAATGAAGCAGCCGTGAAAGCGGCGTTAGATTTCATGCAGCATGAAATAGCTCCATAAAAGGAGCTGCATCCGCGGGAGCTCCGAGGCTGGGGCCGGGGGTTCCCACGGGCTCTGCCTGCTCCAGCGCGTGGCCGGGACGCGATGGGACAGGGACGTGTCCCCTGCGCCGCGGCCACGCACGGCCCTCGTCGCCCTCCTACCCGTGCGAAGAGCTGAGAGGAACCCGACACCGCTGCACAGGAGCGAGCTCTGTCGGGCTGAAAATAACGGGTTTGACTGCCCAAAATAGTATGCTCTCCTAAGCACGCCGCAAAGACTCGGCTGGACACTGCCTGGACCGGCCTCTTGCTCACGGATTCTGTCTTCATAGTCACAGAAATAGAGAAGAGACCTCATAATAGTAATAAGAATAMACTACCTCACTCGTTCAGTGAGGAATATTTTCCTGACAGTCCAATCCAGGGTCCTGTGCCAAGTCCAGCTAAGRGGATGCACATTTCCTCGGAAAAATCCCTTCCAGCAGCAGACGTAGGGAGGTTTTTCCTGGGATCTGCTCTTGCAGGACAGATTTCATCCCTGCCTATGGCAGARTATGGCACAGAGAACAATGAGCCCTCGTTAAAAATCCTTCCCTAATGATGCCTTCTAGCTTGGCTTCCRTAGGAGCCACCCCTCGTGGTCCCAAGTGCCCTTCCTTGGGGCCTGGCATTCCCCGCTTCACTGTTCTCCACTTTTAGTCCACAAAGCACTGGAAGCATCTCAAGGCAATCTCCAAAACCATCGCCAAACCCAAAATAAAAGCCAGGCCCAACATCCTATACACACAACTCTGCATAAAACTGAGTGAAATGGAGGGGAAAAAGARAAAAAGCCCTCTAAAATAGCCTCTTAGGCTGTAAAATAAAACTATTGCACCAACACTGTACAAGAAACACAATAAACTTGGCTCTCCCTGGAGGTTAGATTGTCCTGCGCTCAACAGCTCGTAAGAAATATTGCCTCCCACAACCCTTGTCTGAAAGGCACCAAGAGCTGTGATGTTTTCCAGGAGATTCCCCTCCCGGAGCGGGATGCAGCACCCTGTGCCTGGCTGCATCTCCCTGCAGGAGCCGCGGGAACATCTCGGGATGCGGGAACATCTCAGAACGGGCGGCCGAGCAGCAAGCCCTGCACGACCCAAAGAGCCTCATTTTCCTGGCAAAGCTCTGCCTAGATTGCTCTAGTTCTGTCACCAATCACTTTTTCAGTCTCTTTTGAAGTAACAATAGTGCATTTATTTAAGAAATTCTACAAAAGCACAACTTGGGAAAATACCTGGGGATCCATAAACTAAAAAACTTCCCCRAACATATGTTTAAACTATTCTGTTTTCTCCCGAGACATCCTGAACAGGCACCGTGGACTGGAGTCCATGAAAACAAAAAAGTAAATAACAACCCGTGCCAAATATTTGTGCGCTCCTTCGCTCCGCAGCTCCACGGATTGCTTTAAAACCGCCTGAAAATTTGGGTTTTGGAGGCAGCAATGGGAGCGTCTTGGGGTRAACTCAGGAAATTTGGGGTTTGAAGGCAGCAATGGGAGCRTCTTGGGGTGAACTCGAGGAAACAGCTGCAGTTTGGGGTTGGCAGCAGCGGGAAAGGTCCGAAAATCCAACACTGTGGCCACCAGGCAGGTGTGGCCACCACTGTGGCGACCAGCCTGGAGGACAGTCTGGAAGAGCAAAAACACACGGAGATCGGAGCTGCTGGGGGGCAGAACAGGCCTAGGGCACCCCCGGGGCTTAAAACCAACCAAAAAACTTACTAAAGCCTTCAAAGAGCCACAGAGGAACCGAAAAGCTTGAACAATTCCTTCTCCCTTTACATTTTATGAGACCCCAAACTGCCAGTATTTGTTTGATCTTGTAACACCTTACTTTGCATTCCTAAACTTCCATAAAAACACCATATTCTTTGGCAGCCGAGTRTTATTTTGTATGTTATTTTTGAAAGGCGAAACGGTTTCATTTGGATGCAATACCCTTGGTTTCTCCTGCTGACTACTCTTTTATCTGAATAGATCTTCAGGCAAATGAGGCAAAACAGCTCCTCCTGCTCCAGACACATCTTTGCCCAAGTCATGGGACTGTAAATTAGAAGATCATATATAATTTCTAGCACAAGTTGCCCGTTCACCTTGGAGCAGAACAGTTAACCATTTGATGCTATAGTCTTACCCATTTGTTAAAGTCATTATTATAACACATGAAAGGAGAAGTCCGAAGTCATGTTTGCAAGAGTTCCTTAAATGCCTCGGTCAGACAAGGCGACAGGGGTTATTCTCCTAGTAATAAATTAAAGATCAGATTAATGACCACAAGGTAATACTGTGCTTGAAGCAAATATTTGAAGTATGTTCATAACATTTGCTCCCTGTGCTCCTTAAATTTTAKTTCTTCAGAGTACAACACATCTATACTTCATAGTTCATATCCTCTCAAGYAAGCCAGRGGAAGGCTGAGAAACAAAAGGAGCWGCATGTGTTAAGAATAGCATGTTTTGACTCTTTTATTAGGCAGAATATCTGATTATACTAATTCCCACTTAGCACTCAAAATAAATACTCACTAAGCTGCTCATTAAAATGACATTCCCACCATCTTCTCTGGGAGTTTTTCTATTGCTCTCACCAAATACTGGATCAAAGTTTGCCATGTTGTTAGGTCACATTGCACAAAAACATGTCCAACAGCCTCACAGATTTTTAAATATGTTTTATTTCAGTTGAACTCTGCACGCAAATTCTGCTTATCCTGCACAGCTCAAATGAGTTACCCAGACACAACCGAAGGCAGAGTTTCAGCCTGTTAAATACAGTTTCTGAGTACCAATTTTCTTCCTTTTCACTTCCTCCTCTTTTCACTCCAATAAACATCAGACCTATTTCTCTGAGTAATGGCAATTCCTTCAATGTATTTTAAGAGCTTGTTTCAAGCTAAGCTTTTCCAAGTCTTCATAACCGCATGACTGGAATGAGGGGGAAAAGGAAATTAAATTATCATTTGTGCAGATGTGCTCCAGAAGGTACCCTAATCCAATGGTCTAAGGAGATGAGAGGAGCTGGAGAAGCTGGTAGGTTACCTGCTATAYAGTTGTGCAACAAGAGCTTAATGATACCGCAGGAGGGGGATGAGCACACTGGATGTCACAGACCTTCTCCTCCAACTGAAGCCATCGTGTTCTGTCTCAGCCTTCTTACCCATCTTACCTGTAATTTCAGTCACAGTAAGAATGACCTACAGATCCTGCTAAAACTAACGTGTTTTATTTTGATTGTAACCCAATTCAGCTAACCAGGTGAGCAGGGAAGAGCACTGAGGAACTGCAGGCAGCAACTTCTTGGCCCACAGAGAAGAGGGATGAGCACCTACAGCCTGGTAGGATGGGCACCTGCACCCTGGTGCTTTATAGCACACAGTAAATCACCAGCTGAGCCCCAGCAGGGCCAGGTGCCAACSTGCCAGTGGCTGCAGGGACTGACACGGGAAGGGGGCAGTGATGGATCCATCACCTCGTAGCCACAGGCACTGCAAACGCAGACAGGGAAACAAAAGAAAAGAGCATACGTCTAAGGAGGCTGAGGGGTTATGTTCCAGGGGGCATTTATGAAACCCTGCTTATGTGCTAAAATACCAGCAATTACTCTTGGGTTTTACCCATTCAGTAAAGTTACTGCTTGTATTTGGGGTTCTGACTTGCACTGCTGCTTTGAGAACGTTGCATTAATGCTGCAAGCACTTAGCAAGTCTGCATGCACAAACACAACGCCTGAAGGGCTTTGCACTAAGACCCATCTAAGATATCAAGGGGAATTAGAGCTGAAGAACGCTAGACTTTTCCTTTGTTGCATTCAATAACAAATAATGTAAATAATTTTAGACAATCTCACAAATTTAAGGATGCCTTTTTCCTGATAACATAGGATGTCCCAGTTTGCCTACTAGCTTATGAACAATTCTCATCCTGCAAGTGTTGGTCACAGTGTCACCTCCATTCCTTTCCAGTTGAAAACTGGATCAGGGAATATTAACAGAGAATTAAGCTAGAAACATACTCATTCAAAGTAGCCATAAGGATTAGATTATCTTGAAAACTTGCATGCATTTTCATTGCTTTAGGTCTGACATGATGCCCAGGGGATTCACTCCCAGAACTGGTAGGATTTGGACACCACAGATTCTTAATTCCTGCAGGCTCTGAGAGGGAGGGGACGCCTCAGACCACCTTTCTCTTTAAAATAACAAAAAAGTCTGGCATAAACTAAAGTCCATTGAATTAATTAGGAATTTTCCAGGTAGAATTGGAAGTTTTAAGCATGCTTTTCATACCCATAAGCAATGTCAAATACACACTGCATTTTGTATCTACTTCTAGGGCATATTTTAGTTCACACAAGGGAAAAATAAGTGCTCATTTTTTTTTCTCTATATTAGAGGTTTTCACCTGTGTTCTGAAGACATATGTACCTCTGTAGGCAGCTTCTATGGGGTCTGCGAAAAGTGAGGAGAACAAGCCAATGCTACTCAGAATCTCCTCTGGAAAACCTGTAGGAATATATTAATAAAGGCTAAAATCACTGATCTGTTCAGCATAAGAACAGTGACTATAAAGAACATAAATATTTATAAAAGATAATGAATAGCCTAAGGGTAGAGGGAGGAGGATCTATGATAAGAACTACATTGTATATCTTATGTCCCATTCTTCCACCCCAAACAATTTTATCCGGCTGGGTTTGTCCTTGCCCTGGGTGCAGTTTACAATTTGCAGACAACATTTTGCAGAGCACAGCGTCTCTGCAGAGCACTGCTGGCACCAGACCTGCTCCATGGCAGGCACCCTACATGCAGAGGAGATGGTCTTTGCATGGTGCAAGGCTGATGAGCTGGGCAAACGAGCTCTGCACAGCATGGATAAGGCAGTGCACTTATCCCTCCTGCTTCAGGACACCTTTTGTGTCTCTGCTCCCATCAGCTTAAGGCTGTGCAATAGTCTGAAATGAATTGGAAAGATTCTGGGAATCCACCTACGTAAACRTCCGTGATGGCATCCGTGGAACTCAGCCTTTCAGAAAGAGCGAGTTTGCTGTCCTTATCTCCGAAAGATAAAAGGCAAACTTTCCTTGACCTGCATAAATTAGGAACATTCAGCCTAAGCCTCTCCAGTTGTCTGCGTGCTGTAGCTGTGCAACACCCAAAAAAGGAAAAATTGCTTTGATGGAGTCGATAATTCGGATGATAAACACCAAAACCCCAAGRAGAGGCTAGAAACGTGTCCTGCTGAATGGGTACAGTAGCTGGTTTTCCACTGTATGAAGTAATAATAAGAAGAATGCATCAAATTTGTTTGCAGACTACCCTAACAGCAGACATCTGTCATGATTCACAAGAAAATAACCTAAAAAAAAGCTCAGTGTTCAGCTGCTCGGCTCACTGACTCATTATGCCAGAGGTTTTCACTTTGTTCTTTCAGGCTCTGCTTCTGACAGGAAATCTATCAGTTTAATCCTATAATGAGAACAATYAGCCTCACAGGAAAAGCAGATTTCTGCTGCAAGCTCATCTTCTGTTTACGATATTATGCCAATATCTCTCACTATTCTCTCAACTGCTGCTCATCAGCCACGTGCAAGGCCACGGGCTGCAGAAAACGAGCACCCGTTTCCACTCTTGCTCCAGCATGGGAGAGTTAAATTCATTTTTCAGCAAAAGAGATAGAAGCAGCGACGTTTTAGTATTAAAGGRTTGTAATTAGCAATTTAGTATTAAAGGACTGGGTTGAATAGTGCAATAGGTCTTTCGGCAGAGTACTTGAGTGCTGCCTCGTCCTTGTCCTCCAGAGCCACCGCGGAGGCCGCCCTTGGTGGGTCCAGGCTGCTGTTGTGCTCCGGCAGCGACGCTCCGGCGGCGCTTCCCCGTCGGAAAATCCCGCTCGTGGCTCTTATCTCGTGTTTAGTCTGCAGAGGTTGCGCCTTATCCCGCTGTCCAGGGACCTGCGGAACCAAGCACAGCAAGTTGGGTGAGCGCCTCGCAGCCTCCTGCACACGGAGCAGGATAACGCACACGGAGCAGGATAACACACCAATATTCCCCCTTTTCCACTTTTTCAGAGCCCAGGAGCACATCTYGCCAGCCCTATCGCTTTTTTCAGGCAGCCCTCACAGCCCAAAGGTGACTGCAAAGCAAGAAATTCAGCTGGAGCAACTACATTTCTTCCATTAGCCTAACGGTTTACATCACAGCTTGGTTTCTTTGTGGGAAGCTTGGATGYCCCACATAAATTCCTTATAAAGGATTTAGACGGATGAATTAAGCAGAATTCAGAATGACAGCTTCYGACTCTTGGGGACATTCCAAAGAACTTCCAAAGCCAAAATAATAACCCAGGGCTGAGAGAGTCTGCAGAGCCCGTAAATTAAACAATCTTTTTCATACCTCCTGCTAAATCTGCCACAGGCTTCAGATTTACCTGGACTTGATCCAAATGACATTTTTCAAAATTAAATGTTTTTTAAAAAGTACTAGTAAGTAAAGAAATAAGCTGAAACCATTAGGAACCTGTTGAATATGGAAGAGGTCTCAGCAGGGTGAAAAAGGCACCGGAATGCGATCGTCTCRGCCATGGAGATGGGAAAGAGGATGGAGCTGTCAGGGATTCCTGATGAATGTAGGGAAGGAAAAGAGGCTACGCTCCGAGAAATGCTGACTAGGAGAGGGATGAACTGAACGAAACCGCAGCTGCACAAATTCCAGGAGCCTTCGCTCCCGCGAGAACTCGGGATTCGTTTTAKCAGCATCATTTTCAGCATCATTTTCTCAAATGCAGGTGGTATGCGGAGCAACCAGTGCTAGAAGCTATAGCTGAGCAGCAATAAGATGAATCTCAAGCACAAAGCTTGAGCCAATGAGTCTGAAACCTGTTTTTAATAAGGGTGCAATTATTAGGAAAGCTAACCCACGAGTTAATATCTAGTTTAATTTTTAAAACTACTTTTAAATGTCAATTCTCCAAATTAAACTCGCTCACAGATGGCTTAAATGGAATTTACTGATGGTTTCACTCTACAATGAACGACTTTGTATCCACATCTTCATTAAAAAATAAAAAATACTTGTGCTTCATTTAAAATATTTCCAATAGCAATTTAGTGAAAAAGAAAGCTTCATCCCTAGGCTAACCACCATGAGAGGGGACTAAAAAATATTTCCCTTACGTTAATGATACAAGTATTTTATTTCTCAGGTGGTAAAATTGATCGGGGTTTGGGATTTTACATTTGCTGCAGTAGATGCAAGTGCAGTTAAAGCTCTTTTAGAGATGTCATCCATCTGAAACCTCCAGCTAAACAAATGGCAAGAAATATTTCTAAATTTGATGAATGTCACTTTCAAGTGAACTTCGAGAGGAATTTGCTTCTTAAAGAAGAATGAGGGGAGCTGCACGTTCCAGCCTACGAGGGAAGAATGTCCTGGCATTTATTAGGCACCTATGGAGAGATGCTGCTATGTTTAACCTACAGACACTGCACCTTGACCTATTGTTTAGCTACATATATAGGCAGTCATATGGCCACAGATTAAGCTCTGCCACTAAAATAAATTTGTCTGACAAATGCAATTTATTAAACATACCACATTTACTGTCTTTCTACTTTCATTTTATATTTTCCCATAATATGAAAATAGAATCTTTTACAAGGGGCCTGGGGGCAACGCAAAAAGGAGAGCAATTATGACCAATTTACAGTCAAATTCTCTCTCAAGCACCTGACATGTGATAGGTAAGGAAAACACCAGGGAACATGCTCATAGCAGCTCAGAGTAGATAGAGCAGTCATTTCTACACCCATACATTAACTCATCACCTTTAAATTATTGCATTAAAAAGATCTGTAATCCTACAGCTCGTAGACCCAGCCTCCTGCTACAGGGGACCCACACCAACGTGGACCTCCTGTCAGCCCTAGGGATGCTCAGCCCAGGAGGGTGTCTGCAGCGCAAGAAAGGTGGAGTCTTCTGGAGGTCTTCCCAACCCACCTGGGATGCCACCCTGGCTCTGGGTGTCCCTGATGGAGCAGGAAGGTTGGACTGGGTGATCTCTAGAGGTCCCCTCCAACCTCAACCGTTCTGTGATGCTGTGAAAGCGTCCCGGCCTCGAGCGGAGCCACCAAATCCTGGAAGTCACTCCCACATGGGCAGATGCTCCAAGCCACGACAGGAGAGTCATCGCTCCAGATCAGGGCACCGAGCAAAGCTAAGCTTTGGGAGAGGGCCCATGGAAAACGCGAGTGCGGAGCGGAACGCACCGTGGATATCCGCCCTTCGGCCCGTCCGTGCCGGGATAACAAAGGAAGGAAGYGGAGGCTTCATCGGGGCACCCGAGCACCACGACGAGACGCTCAAAACCGGCGGCTAGTGCATGATAAGGCTTCCGAGTGGAAAATTACTGGAAACAAACACCCTGCAAAACACAGAGCGGGGAATAAAAACAGCATGGAGAGAATGGAATGATAAGATTGAATTCACAGACATGGTTGACCTTTCTTTCAAATAATGCAGGTTCTTTGTTAGAGCTCACTATACAGCTTCAGTCACGACACCCAGCAGAACAAACACGCCTGGGACGCTCTGTCACTAACTTAATATTAAGGCTCGCTCCCACAGCAAGATTTCCATCTTCTGTTGATTTCTCAAAGCAAGATAGGTGAAAAATCATGAGAGCAACCAAAAGAATGGGACACCTGTGAAATGCAGGGCTCTTTAGCTAGCATTTTCCTTACCCAAATGCCTGAAAAAACACCCATCAATGACAGGAGTGCCAAATGAAGCCTCTGACACCCAAGGGCTGCTCTACATACAGGGGCTTTTCAGGAGGACCGCTCTGCAGATAACTTAGCTCACAGTTGATCTGACTCTGCTTCAGCTCAGTTTAATGTATTTTGGAAGAGAACTTACTATGGAATAAGCACACCCACAAGTTTAAAGTTAGCTATATTTTACTTGGGTTAACTTTTTGGCAAGCCTAAAGTTACACAAGGCATAAACCAAGCTCAGCATTTAAAAGGCCTTGAATAGAAAGACTCCAAGCCTGCAGCTTACTCGTCAGATTTTGCCTTTTCTTGGCTTCTATTGTTGCTGCTTCCCAGCAAACCTAGTTTCTTTTGCAGAAAAAGATTTTTCTTTTTCCTCCCCAGAGAAAGGCCATCACAGCACTGATGACACACTGTGTTTTTAACACGCATTTCTAACTGAGCCCTTTGGGGCGGCATTGCCAGGCTCCGCACAGCAGGAAAGGTAGGAAGCAGATCCTTCCTGGGACAGCGGTGCCCAGCTGGGACTCACTCCCAGCGGCGAGGAAGCGCGGAGCCAGCCGAAACCCGYGGCGAGCGGGTGATATCATGCAGGAATGAGGCATGATTCCTGTGCTACGCACACAACGCCGAGCATCGGGGCTTGTGCAGAGCCTGACGACTCTGCAAGGGGCAATTGCAAGAGGCAATTGGGGTAAAAGCATCACAGTAAAAAAAAAAAAAAAAAAAAAAAAAAGTGCTTTTACCCCAATTGCAAGAGGCTAAACCCACACGCAAGAGCCTGTTTATCCACAGCAACATCCGGCCAGTCCCTGTACAAGAACAGAGGTGCCCAGGGGACTCAAACACAGCAGCACAACAGGCAGGTTCATCCACCCCAAAAGCCAAGGGTGGCAAATGCTGCAGGGGCTGTGATGAAGGGGGATATCACAGCCCTTCCCTGCAGGCCAGTAAGATTCCCCCAGCCTAGACGCTTTGAGAGGCTCTTTTTCATTTCGCTTTCCRAGGGAGACACTCAGGTCCCTAGCAGGACCATTTACATCTGCTGCAGGAGAATATTGATATGGTCGCAGCTACACAGCAGCCCCAGAGCTGGAGCCACACAAAAGCCACCAGTGACACCCAGCACCCCCGTGTGGCCTCACCTTGCTCCGGGACACAGACACCAGGCACTTACACTGCTTTAAACCTTACTCCATTATAGCAAATGCTGCTGCTCTTCCACCAAATACTCTCCCAGAGGGCAAACAGCAACAATCCAGTGATCACAGCGAGCAGAGAGAAAAAATGCTACAAGCACAGGCTGCCATCCCCAAAATGGGGGCTTTCCTCTAAGAACCAGCCCCAGCTGTGCCCACCTCCGTATTTATACCCACCCGCAGCTGAAGCCAGGCTCAAATACCCGCCAACACAGCTGGGAACCCTCTAGAGATCCCCGTGGACAGGCTGTTTGGAGGGGGAGTTTCACAGAGCTGGGCCCCTTCCTTAGTTTCTTCCCTGCTCGGGGGAGCAGCCTCTGCGTGGGGGACGTTTCCCTGCAGGGACCCCGCTTGGACGGGGGGTCTTTGGGGAGAAGGGACAAGTTTTCCCCTCAGAGCGGGGGGCCGCGGAGGGAGGCGGGGGTCGCGGGCGGCCTCCCCGACGAGGCCCCGCGGGAGGCTGCGCGGGGCGGCCCCTCGCGCGTTCCCGCCTCCCGCGCCGCGGGGGGGCCGCTCACGTCAGGCCGGGCCGGGCACGAGGCGCCGCTTTAAGTGGATGCGGCGGCGCGGCCGCGGAGCGAGACGCGGAGCGGAGCGCGGCCCGGGCCCGCAGCCGCCATGCCCCACACGGTGGCCCTGCGCGGCCCCTCGCCGTGGGGCTTCCGCCTCGTGGGCGGCAAGGACTTCAGCACGCCGCTCACCATCTCCAGGGTGAGCGGGGGGTACCGGCTGCGGGGCGCCGGTACCGGCTGCGGGGCGCGGGGCTCGACGGCGGASGGCTCGGCGCCGGGGAGCGGCGTTGCCGTGGGGCGGGACCGCACTGCAGCGCTTTTCCACACGCATATATACTTATATGCCTATTTTCCACTCGCATATGTATTTCTCTACATATTTATTGGTGGTTATGATACATATGGATGGGTGGTTGCGGTTCYGTAGGTGCGCACACGCGGGGGGCGCGCGCGGCGTCGCGGCCCCGCGCGGGCGCGGCTGGACGGGGCCCGCCGGCCTCGGCGCCGTGCTTAATCGGGCTCCGCTTTGCAGCGCGCTCGCTGCTCTCCCGGCTCTAGGAGCTTGGCCGCGGGCCCTGGAGCGAGTTCACAGGTTGCCGGGGCTCCGTTTGTTTGTGTTTCCTGCGTTCCGGAGGGCGGCGCGGGGCCGCTGCCGCCCCGGCTCCGCGTTGGCCCCCGGTCGTCGCGGCCCGGCCGCCTTCGTGCTTGTGTGGAACCTCGCGAGGGGAGTTCTGGAAAGTTCCCCGAAACGGCGGCCTGTGTGCGAGGAGGAGCTGGTCMCAGGGCCATGCCCGGGTGGGGTGGGAGACCCTCCGTGCATCCCAGTCCTCCCGGCTGAGCCTGCTGCCTCAGGGGATAGCTCTGGAAAGAGTGTGTTTTTAAAAGGCTTGGTTTGTGTGTTTTGCTTGTGTTTTGCACCATATCTCATCAAATACTCCAACAGCTTTTTGGGGGGGAGGGTTGGGGGGTGAGGAGAGAGCTTGCGGTGGGAAAAGATTGATAGGAAGGGAAGACTCCGTCTGAAAGACCAGGGTGCGCATTTGGGAGCAGCACCTGGAAGCCTTGGCTGTGCTCCTGTTGGGAGAATGAGTGGAATGGGACAGAAATCGGTTAAACAGGGCATGTATGTGCCAAGGAGAGGGGAGGGGCTTTCAGCCAGCAGCATATGGATCATATAGGTGGGGAAGCCCTTGGGGCGCACTCCTTGCTAGCGTGGCTGCATCACTGTGAGCAGTTGTAAAAACGCCCCTGTTGTGCGAGGGAACATCCCGACTAGAGGGAGCCTGTCTGGAGAGTGTGTGGTTTAGTGTGCAAGGTAAAATGGAGGCTCTTGCTCCTTTTTGTCACAGACAGGTGACTTGATTTGATTTCTTGATTCGATTTGTTGATTCTTCATTTGATTCAGTTTAGGAGGTGTGACTGAGGAATGCCAGCTTTGATCAGAGAGAAAGGTGACATGCAAATAGCAGTTMCGGGGTGGCATTTCATGTTGCTGAGCATGGTGCTTTTTTAAACAAGACCCGTTTTTCTGACTCTGTTCTCAGTAGAAGCACTCGGGGCAGCACTTTGAAGAGCCGTTCTCTAAAAGCTGCTTCCTGGGAGGTGGAAACAACTTGCTAGGGAAGCTGATGTGATTGYAGACTCTTTACCACTTGTGTGCTTGGGCTGTAGAGGAGCAAAAGCCGAGATTTACCAGCTCTGGAACAATACCTGAAAGGGGTAAAGCTGGAGGAGTGTTCGAGTCAGCACGTGAATTCCTAAATTGCATTCCCAGCATGAGTGGGGAGGTGTCGGGGGAGCCAGGATGAGGTGCTRCCCGCGGGGCTGGTCCAGGCTCCTGCCTGCCCATTCCCGCAGCAGGAGGTGCAGGACAGTGCTCGGATCTGACTTCCTGGGCATGTGGATCCTCACCTGAAGGGGAGCCTTACTCCAAAGAATTGAATGTGGCTTGTGACCCTTTAAAGGGTGGCTAGAAGCAGGTGTGRTGAAGCATCCACTTGTCACCATCTAGACAATTAAATAGTAAGAGGTCCTAGAGCAGTTCTGTTCCTTCCAGCCTGAGGGACTTCAAGCCCTTATCTTCTATCTCCTGCCTGGCACCTGCGTGCTAAGGGAAGGGTGGCAGGAGTCCCTCCAGACTGCTTTYGAAGCCGGCTGCAGTAAAGAGGGCAGGACAGCAGAGACGGACCCAAAGCGTGGGAGGCAGCCTGTTGCTRTAGCCTAATTGTTAGGACTTTTGGCTGACTTCTGCTTCCTTTAAAGCGCTTTTTAAAAATTTATTTTGTATTAAAATGCCATTAAGTTACAGATATAAAAAGCAGAGATCTGAGGGGGAGGAGATGCTGCTTTTCCAGCTGTGCATCTTAACTGCTGATGTTGCTGGACTGCTTGAGGGGCCCGGGTTTGCTGCACCCGTTTGCTGTGCCTTGGTTGGGTTGAGATGTGCCACAAGGTGTTTGGGCTCTACAGCCGCGGATCAAGCTGAGCGACTTCTCATGAGCTTTGTGTCTTACTTGGGAATTTGTAGGCTGCGGTTCTGCACTTGGGTGTCTAAAAGCCACCCCCGGTCGAATGCAGATGCCAGAGACCGTCTGTCTACCCTTTGTTTTTAATCCTGCTCCTAGGCATTTGTGAAACATAGATGCATTTGTGGAGGGGCTGGAAAAGGCTTCAGTCATCAAGCAGCTGGTTTTCCCTGCCTCTTATGAGACTACTACAGGAAGCAATAATTTCTCCCCAGACYAGACAGCTGAAACAGAGTGTGAAGATGTCACTGCCCCGAGACCCTGCAACAAGCAGTGCTTAGCTGTCGTCTCGGGGAGCCCATAAAGGCTGCACTTTCTTCTCCAAAGCCCGTCTGTTTCAGAGTTGTCCTCCAGTTTAAATGAAGACCAAGTCCTCTAGTGCTTGGGTAGCAGTAAACCTTTAGATTTGGGTTCTAAGAGGGGAATACTGAAATGACCAGTACAAAAGGAAACTGCAAGGTACAACTTTGCAAAGCGGGGCTTTAGCTGAGACATTGCTGATGTAAGATACATTTGCAAACCTCAAGCAAGAAGAGGCAGCTGGAGAGGAACAAAAAGGAAAGYGAAATACAGTCCTCAAAATAAACTTGTGGGAGTTTATTCAGAAGACATGGTTGACCTAACAGGGATTTGGCAGTAGGGCAACGAGTCGCCAGACCAGAGCCCTGCTGTGGAAGGGGACGTAGGGGCTTGCTGGGCTTGCTCTGCCCTCGGTGCCGTGCTTGCTCGCTGCAGTGCAGGGCTCGCCACTTGCAGCAATTTCAGATGTGCTCCAGAAGTCACATAATCTACTTTTCTTGCAAGTCGATCTCTTCCTCTGTGGTTTGATAAATCTTCAGCTGACAGGTCTTAAAGATCTGATCCCTGGAGTTGCTGAGAACACCAGCTGGTGCAGAGCTCTGCTTTAGGGAGGCTGCTGCTTGAGCTCGAATAACGAGCTCTTAAAGATAAGAGAAATACAAATCCAGAAGAATGCTTGGAGCATCTTTTTCACTTACCAAGCTAGACCACATCCAGTGCTGTTTTTCTGTCTGTGTTTTTCAGGGGGCTGAAAGGAGCAGGGCTGATGTTTGCATGGCTGCTCTGAAGAGGCTGGCCGGGATCTGCTCTGAGCAAGGATGGTGCTTGTGCCTTGGCAGCACAGACATTTAGTGCAGGGCTGCCCCTCTGAGAAGGAATTCAACTTTTAGGAAAACTTGCATTAAACTGAAGCTGAACATAGTGTATCATGCAACAGCTCCTCTGTCAAGCAATATTTATTGGCTTGGGGGAATGACCAAGACCAGTACTTTAGAGCTGGCCTATTGACTTGCTAAAAAAGTGGCTTTAAGACTTAAATATCTGGTAGCTGTCAGCTGCTTTGCCCTGAYTCTTCAGTCTGAGAAGGGGATGTTGCGTATTGGATAGTTTGGGAAAGGGGTTGTGCATCAGCCTGATGTAACTAAGATATCTGCAGTGCTCCTTCCACCAGCAACCCCGTGTCGGTAACACGCAGTAACTTACTCTGCAGCCCTGTCGTGCTTGCAGCCACGTTAATAACTGCTGCGGCTGTGTGTGGGATCATGGGGATCTATTCTCTGCCTGGGATTAAGAGCTAGGTAGCCATTAGTGGAACCAGAGCATCTGAATGTGCTCAGCCCCTGGGAGTCTCGTGCCTAGCTCCCACGGTCAGCGTCTTCCACCACGTTGGGCCGGTGTTATTCCAAGCACAGGCCGCTTGTGCGGGTTGATTCCTGTGTTTAAAAAGAAAAATAATCAAAAAGCAGCTTTTTATTAATGCATTTTTTTTGTACTGCAGTCTAATGCACTGTTTTTAATGCAGTCTTTTCTTTATTAACTGGCATCCACATCAGTTTGGCTGCTGGTGTCCAGGAAGCCAGCAAAAATACTTCTTTCAGTATTGGTTTGCGGCTGTAACACAAGCAGGATGACAAGTAATTGATCTGCAGCCTGTTATCCAGAAGTTACTCATAGAGTTCAGGGTTTTTTTAATTAAGTAGTTTCAATACATTCAAGCAAGTGCTTGTTTTATTAAAAGCTCGGATACTCAGCAAGGAATCCTACTGGTAGAGGAATTCCAATAAAGGTTGTTTCGTTTAGCCCCGTAGGGTCACCAGCAGCTCCCTGCACGTGTCCTGTGATCCCAGGTGCAGAACGTGTGCACTGGGAGTAATATTTAATGGTGTGGCTGGAGAGGCTTGATGCAAACGCTCTGGGTCGTGGAGGGCAGAGGGCTGTGCAGCCCTGGGCTGCGGGATCTCTGCAGGGAAAGCGGGAACAGGAGATTCGGAGAAGGGACAAAGCTTTCCCCTCCCACTGTGCCTCTCGGCCAGGCCTTAGGATTTTACTTTGGCGCTTGTGTTTATCGCTTTATTGGAAGGAAATTGCTTTTTTTTTTTTGATTTTTATCCTCATTAGCCTTCAGGAGTGAGAAATCTGCACTGTCCCACTTATTTCTGGAATATCACGACAGAATTAGTCAGAACTAAAGAGCTCATGGAAGTGCAACAGACACGTTTGGTGCTGAGATCATTGAGGTTTTATTAAGTAATTGAAGGAGTAGGATAAATCCTTGTGTTGCTTCGTGAGACAGCGCCTGTGGAATATACTGGAATGAAAGYGTAATGGCAATTACTTTAATCAAGCACACTGGAAAACCAGGTGGAAAGAGTGA